CAGGGCTCATGCCAGTCTTCTTAAAAGGGAAGTCAGCACAAAGGACAGTAAAGAACAGTAGAGGGAGGAAACCAAAAGGGCGTGGATCCGTAGCCTGTGTGATGCCATCTGGTCTGCTCCGTGTCAAGCTGGGGCGCTGAAGACAAAAAAAAAAAGGAAATCATTGAGAGAATACTCGGAGACAAGCAGTTGCTGTAAATGGTATCTTAGAGCATTAAATCATACAAAACCATAATCTCCCATTTAAAATAAAAGAGTGAGGGGATGGAATGTTCTAGGATCGAGAATCACTATGCATACACCATGTATGCATTACACGTTTTAGGAGATTGACAATAATGTAAAATACACTTATTAACACATATTGAACACAATCTCATTTTTACCTTTTACTTTTTGGAAAATACTTGAGCGACATGCCTTGCCAGTGACAATGAGCATTCTAAGTGCTGATGGCAGGTAGGAGGCTAGGGCATGCTACTTGGTTAAGCTGCATCTCTGCAGTTTGTATTTCGGACAGGAGAGTATATTTACAGTAAAGTGACATAAAACTGTGGTCAAAAAGGACTGCAAAACAGTTGATGAGATGAAGGTCAGAAACACGACGTAGATAGATAAAAATAAAGTAATAAAAGTTCTGGCTTACAGGCTACCTCCATGGGAGCAGTAACTTCTACTTTTCATAGGTTGGTTCATTAGTGATTTGGGTAGTTTTGTTGCAAGGAATTAAGTTAACAATTATGTTAATCATACTACTCTTTTCATGATGCCATGCCATTTTTGCTATATATGAAGCCCATATATTATTTCACTTTATTTTTTCCTGCATACCTTGTTCTGACTCCCATTTCCCTCCGCTTTCCCTTAAGTGTATAATCTAATGTATTTGATACTAAGCACGGTGTCTAAAAGCCTGAACCTCAAAGCTGTTCTTCCTGGACTCAGATCTCATGTCTGTCACTTACCATCCGTGTGACCTCGGGCAAGTCATTTCATCTTGTTATGTCTCAGTTTCCTATTGTAAAATGGAACTAATAGTAATACATACTTAATGAAATATTTGTGAGGATTAAAGGAGTTAACATAAGGAAAATTTTTAGAACAATTCTTGTTCAACTAGTAAGGAATATTTGCTAGCTGTTATATGTACATATATGAGAGAATTATATATACATGAGAGAAAAGTGTTTTTCTGTGTATGCATATATTTTAAATTTATGTAAATTTTATGGTGCTATGTATTTATTATACTTCTAATCAACTGAATGTGATATTTTTAAGATCATACACGTTGCTGTATATACTTCTAGTTTCCTACACAGTATTCCTTAGCATGCCACATTCATCTTCCCAGTGATAACACCTAAGTTGCCTCCAATATGAACCACTGCTAACATCACTGGGGAAATCATTCCTTCAAATCAGTTGTTCTCAAACTTTTGTGTGCATCACCCAGAGGGCATGTTAGAATGCAGACTGTAAATAATCCTGGGGTGGAGTCTGAGGATTTGCATTTCTAACCAGTTCCTAGGTGATGCTGATGTTGCTGAGACCCAGTGCTGTAAGAATCTGGGCCAGGTTTTTACTGGCATACACCTGACAGGGTGCTGCTGATCCCTAGGGTGCATACACATTGAATACTATATGAACAGTAGGTTGCCTTCCAAAATGCCACACCAGTCCCACTCCCATTGCTGGGTTGGGGAAGCCCCCCATAATCTAGTCCAGCATTATATTGTCTAACTGCCTTATTTTTGCCAATCTTTTGCTCATAAAATAATTTTACAAGCTTCCCTCTGGTAGGTTACCAGGTAGAGCATCATTTTATATATGTTTTAGCTATTTGGGCTTCCTCTTCATGAATTTCCCTTTGCTATACTTTGCCCATGTTTCTTTTCTATTCACTCATCTTTTTATTTTTAATTTCTGTAAGTTCCTTTACAGCTTAGATATTAATAATTTTTACTTTATGATGTTGCAAATGTTCTCCAGTTTTTAGCTTATTTCGTATCACACACAAATTCTTCATTTTAATGTTGTCAACCCATTTATTTTTTAATC